TTCTCCTTCTCCTTCTCCTTCTCCTTCTCCTTCTCCTTCTCCTTCTCTCCTTCTCCTTCTCCTTCTCCTTCTCCTTCTTCTTTTCAAATTTATTTTTACATGTATGGGTTTTTTGACTTTGTGTCTGTGACTCACATGCCTTGTGACCTCAGAGGCCAGAAGAGGGCAGCGGATCCTCTCAGACTGTAGCTGAGCTGCCATGTGGGTGCTAAGAGTAGAACCTGGGCCCTATGGAAGAGCAGCCAAGTGCTCTTAACTTCTGAGCCATCTCTCCAGGCCCTCTGTATTCTTTCCATTGTTATTTTGACATCTTTTTTTTTTTTTTTTTTTTTTTTGGTTTTTGGAGACAGGGTTTCTCTGTGTAGTCCTGGCTATCCTGGAACTCACTCTGTAGACCAGGCTGGCCTCAAACTCAGAAATCTGCCTGTCTCTGCCTCCCAAGTGCTGGGATTAAAGGCGTGTGCCACCACCGCCCGGCTTATTTTAACATCTCTATTGAGATATAATTCATATACCAGATTATCCACTCATTTAAAGTATACAGTTCAGTCATCCACCGTGGTACACACCAGAATAATAATAATTCCAGAAGCTGTTGTAGGATGATCACCAAGAGTTCAGGGCCAGCTTGAGCTACATAGTAAATTTGAGGTTAGACTAAGCTATATAGTGAGACTCTGTGTCAAGAAAGGAAGAAAGAAAGAGAGAGAGAGAGAGAGAGAGAGAGAGAGAGAGAGAGAGAAAGAGAGAGAGAGAAGAAAGAAAGAAAGAAAGAAAGAAAGAAAGAAAGAAAGAAAGAAAGAGGAAGAAAGAAAAGAAAGGGAGAAGAAAGAAAGGAAGAGAGAAAGCTGGTAATGGCACTGCCTTTAATCCCAGCACATGGGAAGCAGAAGCTCGCAGCAGATCTCTGGGTTCAAGGCCAGCCTGGTCTACATAGGGAATTACAGGACAGCCAGGGCTACACAAAGAAACCTTGTCTTGAAAAACAAAAAAGAAAGGAAGAAAAGAAGGAAGGAAGGAAGGAAGGAAGGAAGGAAGGAAGGAAGGAAGAGGGCTCGAGAGATACTGAACAGTTAGGAACCCTTCCTGATCTTCAAGAGGGCCCGAGTTCCATTCTCAGCTCCTTTAATCCCCGCACTCAGGAGGATCAGTGGATCTTTGTCACATCAAGGTGAATGTTGTGATCACAGGTGCCACTGACCCTGGCTGCTAGACTGCTCTCCAAAGCAGCTGTACCATTCTGCATAGCTACCAGAAACACAGGAGGGCTTTAATCTCTCTGCATTTTGACAATCTAACTATGCATTTGAGAAATAATGAGGGCAACACAGAATCCTTACCTAACTCGGGTAAATAAAATAGAGATGTATAATATAGAGCTGGTGTGATGTAGAGATGGATAAAGAGTCTCCTGTAAACACTTAGGTCGGGGAGAGAATCAGCCGTCTCTAGAACTCTCCCTGCCATGCTACCTGCTAAAGCCTATATGTGTAATGTATGATATTCCCTACTAGACTATAGACAGTGCACAAACAGGAATCTCTATCTCTCTGACTTTGTCTGCATCTGTTGAATGGTTATGTGAACAAATTATTTAGTATTTTTCTACTGATGGTCCCTGTTGAGGTAGAAAAGGAAGAGTAGTCTGAATGGCAAAGGGGATTAAGGAAGAAACAAGGACGAGTGGGTAGAGCGAAGAGAAGGGGGAAGGCAAGGAAGAAGAAAGAAGCTCAGGGACTATTTCTCCAGGCTGGATTTCTGTTCTATGGCCATCATCCTTTGCTTCTCACCTACCGACATTGTTGGTCCGGACATGTTCCCTCCTGGGCTGCATAATGAGTCTATGGCCCAGATGAGCTACATAGCAAGGTCTCAAAGATCTGGGATTTAATTTTGAGCCCTGTGAAAAAAGAGAAACGTTTCTTCTTTATTTTATTATTATCCCCACAGCCTTGTCTCTGAAGGTATTATAAGAGTCAAAAATATGGGAAAATGGGGCAATGGGACAGTGGTTAAGAGTACTGGCTGCTCTTCCAGAGGTCCTAAATTCAATCCCCAACAACCACATGGTGGCTCACAACCATCTGTAATGGCATCTGATGCACTCTTCTGATGTGTGTCCGAAGACAGCTACTGTGTACTCATATAAAATAAATAAATAAATCTTTTAAAAAATATAGAAAAATATTGATAATACAGATAACAACAAAATACCAGGGAGGCAGAGACAGGTGGATTTCTGAGTTCGAGGCCAGCCAGGTCTACAGAATGAGTTCCAGGACAGCTAGGGCTACACAGAGAAACCCTGTCTCGAAAAAAAAAAAAAAAAAAAAAAAAAAAAAAAAAAAACACCAAAATACCTACAAATACATAAATCTACCTTTTTGATGACTTAAAAGGATATATTTTGTTTGTTTCATTTTATTTTTTTGAGTCAGGGTTTTTCTGTGTAGCCCTATCTATCCTGGAACTAACTCTGCAGACCAGGCTGGCCTTGAACTCACAGAGATCTGTCTACTTTTGAGTGCTGGGATTAAAGAAGTGTGCCACCACCTGATGACTGGATGTGCTTTTTTTTTTTCCCAAAGGGGAGAGAGTTTATTCAGGGCAAAGGGCAAAAGTGGGGGGAGAGAAATAGAGGAAGATGGTGGAGAAAGAGGGAGAGAGAGAGAGAAGAGAGAGAAGTGGAGGCCGGCCATGACCATGTGGAGAGTGGGGGAAGGGAAGGGAGAGAGGCTAGGGGACAGAGAGAAGCTAGAGGCAAGAGAGCAAGAGAGTGGATGTGCTTTTTTAAAAGGCAGACTATGAAGGATTTTTTTTTTTACTATGAAAATAAATCATAATCCAGATTCTCCTCCATAGGGCACTAAATGGTTCATCCCTAAAAAGAAGTTGACTACCTTTCTACTATGGCATTAGAACAGGGCTCACCACATAGCCATACTCACAATAACTTTCTTTTACACAATTCTTGCTTTCTACTTCTGCCTAGACTAAGTTGTGAATACAATTGGCATCAGGTGATTGGTCTCTTTCTCCCCAAAGACTCTTACATCTTCCTATGTTCAGTTACTTCTGCCTCCTCTCTGAAGTCACGAATACACACATGCACGCACACACGAAGGCTGGCTTTCTCTGCCAGGTTTGTAATTCCTGAATCTACTTTGTAACTCCATCAAGCTCTGCTTTCTGACTCCCAGCCTTTCCTCCTTTCCTAGCGTCTCTGTTGATTATCACACCTGTCAGTAACGGTCAGGCCAGCCTCCTGGAATCAGCCACTGTCCTTGGCTTTCTTTCCCTCATCTGAGCTCTTATGAACTCTGCAGGTCATCCTGCCTTCTCTACTTTGTGGGTTTGAAAGGGAAGAGAGCAAAATATATGAGGTGCCCATGCACTTCCTCCTTTTACAGAGCTCTGCAGGACAATTACCCAGACAGTCTGTCAGGTTTAACAGGTCTCATAACCCTCCTTTTACAAATACGCTGTGACAATGCAGCTGGATGCTGCATTGATTATGACAGAGCCCCTGCCTTCCAGCCCAGCACTGACCATGTGACCTTTTAAATTACTGTATTTATGTAAGCCTTTCCCTAGCCAGGGGCAGTATCCAAGTCCATCAAACCTGGGGAGGAAGACTGGGGACTGCTATTTCTCTGGTGGTTTTTTTGGCTCCATAGCCTAGGGTCTCCTGTCCGAATCAATTTGGAGCACCATGTGTTTTCAAAGGTGTATGCTAGGGCTGGAATGCACAGGACCCCGCCCCCTTTCACTATGAAGGAACTGAGGAAATAGATAATAAAATCATGTTGGCAGATGCCAAGGACAGTGGCTGATTCCAGGAGGCTGGCCTGACAGGTGTGATAATCAACAGAGACGCTAGGAAAGGAGGATAGGCTGGGAGTCAGAAAGCAGAGCTTGATGGAGTTACAAAGTAGATTCAGGAATTACAAACCTGGCAGAGAAAGCCAGCCTTAGCTGCTGCCACTCAGTTAAGGATTTCAATGAAGGATGTCAGGGATGTGGTCTGCAGGGTCAGACTACAGCATTGACCGGCCTAATCTAAAGAGCATCCAGGAAAGATCCAGAGCACATGACCAAGCGATCTGCGTGTGTGGGAGTTCCATTAACCAAGTAACAACGCAGATGATGAAAGCCAGAAAAATCTGCATTTGGAGGTGCTAAAAGCGTAGGCTAGACCTGCAGAAACCGCGACCGCTAGCACTAGGTAGGCAGTCGGCTTTGCTCCCATTAGGACACAAGGCACTCTGAATTTAGCAGCTGCAAACCCAGGGCTCATATACTTAAGGAACCGGACGGGAGCCCAGGAAATGTAGCATTTGTGCAGAGACTAACCAATTCTCAAACCTAGGTCAGTTCAAATGGGGATTTTGCTGTCCTTCCTAGTCTCCCGGTGTGTTCCTAGCCCCGCCTTTCTTGGGCGGGAACTCATCGCCCCGCCCTGCAACCGCCACAGGGCGGGGCTCCCGCCCGCTCCCGGCTGCCCTTTTCCTCCGCGGCCTCTGCCGAGGCTGTTGTGTCCTGCGGAGCTCCGAGCACGTGTAGGTAAGTGAGGTCCCAAGGAGCAAGGGGTCTAGAGGATTTACTGACTCAGGCGAGAAGCGAGGTGAGAAGGTTTCTGCCTGGCCAGGGAAAGAAACTGGGGTTTGTTTTCTATTACCTCCGGCCTTGGAGGTCATCTTGAAGGGACTAGCCCGAAAAGTCGCCGCCAGTGAGGTGCGGTCCCTATCCATCTGGGGAGTCACCTGGAATGCGTCTCAGTTAGCATTTCCGGAGCCTGGACAGGGACCGAGAAAGGTTCGTGAGGAACACGTGTCAGCGGAGAACCAGATCTGCTTCAGCCCACGTCCTGAAGTAGCTTTTAGACCTAAAATGAGGCCTGTTTTCGTTTTCCTGTCCCTTTAAATTGGTTGGAATTGGTTAGATGTGAAGTTTGTGCTTGGATAACTTGCCCTCAGATATGTTAAAATGGAATGTAAATCGCCAGCCGTTGAGGTCCTTGGCACATCTCCCCTCACTCTTACTCCATCTACGTTCAATTACTGTTCGAAGTGTTAACTTTTATTGCCTTTTAAAGTGCCCTGTATTCAAGTCTCTAGATTTAGTCCGCACACTAGATAACTTTCTCACCCATCTCCCCCCTCTCCCCCCCATCTTTACTAAGGTGTCATTTTTAAGAGTGGGTCTCAAAGTGCAGGATGGCTGGTTCTGGAGGCAGTCTTACTGCCTCAGCTCCCTGCATGCTAGGATTCCAGGGATCAGCCACTAATAAGTTCACTGTGGTCCAATCTACCTGATGTACCAGGGGTACTGTCTACTGCCAATCTATAAATGAGAACTCCAGATAGTGGACTTGGTTAATGGAATGGTTATTTGGGAGTAGAGCTCCCAGAGTTAAGTTGTTAATCTATTGTTTCTTTCACTCAGCCCAACAAAGTGAAGGGGGTTTGAGGGCCAGAGATGGTTTTGGGTTTTTGCCTTTTAATTTAATTGCACAGGTTTTGTCAGCTGGCTGACTCTAATCTGGGGTGTTTTGATTTCATAGTGCCCAGCTGCCAGTTTGAGGAGATGCCTGTCCTGGTAAGTACAGTTCAGCCCATTCCCTTTGCCCCAGCTGTAGGCAGCTGCCTAGGTTTCCTTGTACCTAGGCAAGTGTTACACTGCTGGGAGAACAGCAGCCAATAGCTGGTTGGCATTCTGGGCCTGGTTCATGCCAACTCTGTTGTTAACTATACCAGGATGTCAGCATAGTTGCTTACCCATGAAGAGAAGAGCAAGTTCTATAGGAAGAAACCTAAGATCCAGGTCTTCTAACATGGAGGTTACTTAAATCACAACTTGGAAATGGAACTGAGTAAAAGCCGATGAGGGATATAAATAGGAGGGGAAAAAAGATCAAGTTTTAGTGCCTGTGAATGGTCAGAAGTGAGCCTGAGGCAGTGGAGGGAGTTATTGGACTGCACTTTCACTAAATATATTGCTGCCTCTACACAATAATAAAAGCTAAATCACGACCCCTTTTAGTGAGCTCCCTGTTGGGAATATCGAGTCTGGTGTTGTAGTGTGCAGGGTCCCTTCAGATTGTCCAGGCAACCTAGATGCCCAGTCTCAAAAATTACTAGTATTCTGCCCTCTAGCTGGTCAATAAGTTTACGCATATTAATTGATGATGGGGTTCTGGGAAGTAGCTTAGGTCAAACAGTACTATGTGACTATGTGAGCAGTTAGGTGCCCTTTTTTTTTTTTTTTTTAGAATGCTGATTTTCTAAGAAATGCCTCAATTTTAGGCAAGCAGTGATCACTCACGATGAATCTGAGGATTACCTAATAGAGCCAACATAGTTACTGCTTTTGTAAAAAATCCTGGTTTCCACAGGAAGACACAGCCTTAATTTCCAGAAGTCTCTCTCTTACCCTACCCCTTAAATGTTTTTTGGGAGGAGCCCTGAAAAAAGGCTGCTTGCCAGGCCCACCAAGCACCCCAGACTGAGCGTCTTCTGGCAGGTCAGTCAGGAGCCTCAGTGTTGCTCATCTTCATCATTGTCCTCCCCTTTACATCAACACCCCCTTTGATCCTCAGTGTAACACCTAGGCTACCTAGACATGCGCACTCGCACAGGCACGCGCACGCACACCTTTAATCAGTCAGAAAATAAATGTATCACAGTTACCACAGGAATGTTACTGCCCCATATATTACCCACTCCATCTACCTGCTCTTGGATTCATGCCCATAATTACTTTGATACTACTGCTCCTAAGTAACAGCACCAGCTTAGCCTTGAAAATACCCTCCAATAGACCCCTGAGCCTGCCTTACCTGTGGCCGTCCCTCTGGTGCACTAGCCTTAACATAACTTTCCTGTCCCTCAAATTCTTACTCCTCTCCTGCCATGAGTCCCACATCTAGCAACTTAGAGTAAATTTCACTAATCCTTATTTCTAAACTTGGATCAATTTCCCAGCTGCTGGTGCTGTCCTGCACCCAAAATAAAGCTGTTCCCTACTTTTGCTCTTCCTGATCCCTATCAGGGAAGATGTGGGCAGCAACTCATCAGACTTTACTATTCACCTCTTACAAGGACTCAGTTGAGCCTTGAATGCTTTGTGTGGAATTTGGGGTTCAAGTGTTAATGGTGAAATAGACTAATGTAAATGGTTTTTGGGCCAGTGGTGATCAAAGGGTGGTTGATTGAAGGCAAAATTTAGTGGGCTATGAGTTATATTTATTTTGTGTGTGGAAGGGAGTTTGGGACAACTTGTAAGAGTAATTTCTTTGTTTCAAATGTGTGGGACTCAGAGAAGGAAGGTTATTTACAATTTGAAGTATATAGTGCATTGTTGAGGTACTGTAGGCTGCTAAAACTTGCTTGCATTTTTTTAGGATGACTTGAAAGTAGAGTGGTCATCGACAGGCTGAAAGAAGTAATGATCCACAACAGGGCGCATGTGTGGTTCTCAGGTGAGTGTCTTGATTCTAGCATTGGCTACTTGGTATGCATCGGGAAACAAATGGGAAACAAGCTCACTCTTGGCAGTTACTGTAGAATTTTGGTATTTTTGTTTGAAAGTAGCATAAAATATTTTTGTGTCTGCCATTCCAATTAAGGAACGATTTATAGGAATATTATGTGTCTTAGACAAAATGTGTCTTGATTCTGTTCACTAAGAGTCTAAGCTTAGTCCCTGCCAAATGGCAGAGACTGGATAAAACTGAAAGCATAGAAAGTACTTCTGTGCATTCTGTATTCATGTCTGCTACCTGGGGTGGTCCTGGGATACATGAAATGGGAAAGGGGGAGATTTTTCCAGAACAGTCCATCAGTTGTCAGCTATCCAGGCTGTGGTGCCTGTGATTGTGTTACACTGTTGGAAGAGTAAACACTGCTTCATTAAGGGTTGGCTCCGAGCACTGTTTTGGTGTCCGGTGCTGAGTACCTTTGAGCAGTGTATTGCATCTCTGAGAGTGGAATAACTCCTTGTGGAGTTGGTCCTGGTCTAGGTGCAAACAATTTTCATGTTAAAAGAACAAGGGAATGGGACTGGGATGTAGCTGTGTGAATGAATATAGGACACTTGCCTCACGTGTACTAGGCCCTGTACCTTACTGACAACATGTCACCTTCTCCTTAAATTCTAGATCTGAATGAGATCTGCCTCCATCAGGACTTCAGGTTTCTGACAACACCCTGTTTTGAGTAATGTACATGGTCTCTGTAATGTAGAGGTACTTCAGTTCAGATGGGGAAAATTAAGTTTGCTTTAGAGGATTACAGAACTGTGATTCCAGAGAATGCTTGTAAAGTCCAGCTACCCTTTGGCAGATGAAGCAGTGAAGGAGCCCACACCCATGGCCTCTGAGTTACATCTCCAGCTATAATTTTTAGAGGGACTAGATGATGTCTGTGTACATGTGGCTGGCTACTTGCTAATTAAAAAGTAAGTGATTTTCAGACATCTGTTTGGATGGTAGCCATCTTAGGACAGCTTAGAATGTTCCAGAAAGTTTAGGATATTGCTTTTTAAAAGCAAAAGTTTGGGAAGTTCTTTTAATGGCCCAAGATAGTAAGTATTGTTAATATTGTCTTTAGTTTTGCAACTATGTTGCTTCTGTGTGTGAAAAGCAATGTATCAGCAAATGAACATGGTTATATTCCAGTAAAACATAACTGATGAACACTGACATTGGAATTTCATTGGCATTTTCAGAGTCGACATTCCCAAATGTTTGAAAGCTTAAGATTTTCCCAAGGAACACTTACAGAGATAGCGGAATATTTCTGACCTCTGAAGTTTAGGCCTTGAGGCTTGAAAAGCATTAGTCCCAGTATCAAAATATATCTTCACACTTTTTACATAGTCCTCCTGGGTTAGCCTTCTAAGTATAGATTCATGAACCACATGACAATCTTATTGGTATTCCTTATTGTAGAGGAATAAGGTGACTAAATTATCCTGAAGAAACAGAACATCCTTATTTCTTATCCCTGGGTTTATATGGCTTCTATCATAGTGTTTTTCTCTGTTTATAGGGAGCTTAAAGTGAAATTTAATCATGTGTATGACATGTATGTGTCTGCCTCTGGAGGGCAGAAGAGGACTTTGAATCCCCTGGAATGAGTGCTGAGAACTTAGTGATCTAGAGGACCAGCAAGATTAACCACTGAGCCATCTGTCCAGATAAAACACTTTTTGAGATAGGTCCTCTTTTTTTTGGTTGGCCTCATACTCAAACTGCCTCCATCCCTGAAGTGCTGGAATAATAGGTGAGGACTATCACATCTGGCAGATTCTGCAGCCTCTGTCTCCTGAGTTATGGAATTACAGATGCCACATCTGGTTGATCACAGTTTTGGAGACAGTCTTATGTAACCAAGACTGGCCTTAAACTTAATACAGAACAGTAACCTACTGTGTCTTGAAAGCATTCGGATACCTGCAAGTACCACCATGCCCTTCCTGCAGCAATTTTAATTTTGTATCTGCATTAAGTGTGGGAATGCATATGCTACTCAACAGTGCTAATGGGCATCAGAGGGTAACACGTTTTGCCACATGAGTCCTGGGAACTAGGTTGTCAGGCTTGCCCAGAGGCAGCTTTACCCAGTAAGCCTCCGGCAGGAAATTGGGTCTTAGACTGTTGAGGCTGCCTTCCTGGCCATGGGTAGGGATGCCCACAGCATAGTTTACTGTGATTTTGAAAGAGGATAATACTGTGGCTATTAATGCATGGATTCACTGGCCTAGGTGGTTTCAATGCCATAGATAGTGCAATTAAAGCAATTTTAATGGGATTTTCTAATTGATAAGTGGAGTTAATTAGTTTATTAGTTGAATCATTAAAGCATTCAAAACAACTTACAATGTTTTGTTTTATTTATTTTATTAATTTATTTTGTGGAGGGAAGTTGGAGAGACAGTTGTTTATCAGTTAAAGGGCCTGGCTGCTCTTCCAGAGGACCTAGGGTTCAATGCCAAAGGTAGTGCGAAACCATCTATAACTTCAGACCCAGGGGATCTGATGGCTTCTGTGGTACACAGGCAAAACACCCATTCACATGAAAATAAAAAGCTTTATAATTTACATTTGTTTTATACATACCAGCTTTTGCCTGCATGTATCTATGCCCTTTGTTCCTGGTGCCCTAGAACTGGAGATAAAAATGGTATGTGAGCCACTGGGGGCTCAGAACTAAACTTGGTACTGGACAAGGGCAACAAGTGGTGTTGGCAAATTGCTCTGAACAAGTTTTATCTCCCACATGTATATAAGTTAAAAGGAACATGTGAGAAGTGAGTAGGTGACCAGTGTGCTGTTCATTACTTTGACACTGTCAAAACAAGTGACATTTGTCTTGAAATGTGCCAGGTCTCAAATTACAATTAGAAAAACAAAACCCAGAGGGATAAATTCTAAGGATCCCAATGGGACACACAAAAAGCCACTTTAGCCCAGAGGAATTTACACAGGGAAAGGACAGGTAAGAGCAACTAATTATGACTTAAGAAGAATGGAAATTACTCTAGAGACTTGTGAATAGCTCCCATAAATGGAGCTGTGGAGAACTCTTAGGAGAACAATTCCACTGAGCTAACTAATAGTTGAAATTTTTACCTAGCAGCATCCCTGCCCTTACCACTGAAGGCTTGCCTACAATTTGCTAAATCATGGTTTTCAATTAGGTGCCACCCTACTTTTGTTGTTGTTTTTGATTTTGTTTTTCGAGACAGGGTTTCTCTGTGTAGACCAGGCTGGCCTACAGAAATCCACCTGCCTCTGCCTCCCAAGTGCTGGGATTAAAGGCATGTGCCACCACCGCCCGGCCCCACCCTACTTTCAAGTTATCCTGAAAAGGAAATCAAGCAAACTTTAGCAATTGTATAGAAGTAACATCAACACTCCCAGCTCTTTCCCAGGGATAGGTTTCTGGGCTGGATCTCTCCATTAGCAGCCAAGAATGCATAGTGATACTTCATTAACAGGTCTCTGCCTGGGCAGTTTTCCCAGCACTTGGAAGTCAAGCACAATGACCAGAAGTCTGCTATACATTCTTGTGTGTTGAGTGTGCTATAGCCACCTGGCTCCACTTTACCTGACTGCTCTCACAGGCCTGTTGGCTAGCGTTTTAGATTCACAAGGAAGATCCTAGTAAAGTTAATTTTCGTGGAGAGTTGCTGGGGCCATGTATAGCCATAAAGTGTACCTTCTGCTCTTTAGTGACTTAAAGATAATAGATGCTTTCTTAATGATAGAAATTTCCTGTGGGCTTGTGAACCCCTTCAAGGTGTCTGGAAACTGAACTTTGGTCCTCTACAAAACCACCATACGCTTTTAATTGCCAAACCATCTCTCCCACCACCTAAGCTTCTGCTTTGTGTTTTGAGTAAGAGGCTCTTGCCATATAGCCAAGTAGTACAGTTACAGGCATGGTAAACCTGCATCCAGTTTAAGCTGCTTACTGTAAGATATATACATTTTTTCCCCATTGTTGGGAAATTGAACCCAGGACCACTTGAAAGCAATGGGTAAAACTCCTAACTCCGTGGGAGGGAAGACCATTACTGCCTAAGTTCATGGTAGATTGTATTAAAGATAAATGTGAAATTATTGTGACTTGGTCTCTTTCTTGGTATGTACTACCCTTGACCCTCCAGCCTGACAGGCCTACAGACACTGTTAAAATTATGTTACAATGTTGAGGACTGAACCTCAACACAAGGCTTCAAGTAACCTACCAGCTGTGCTACATCCCCAACTTTTGTCTTGAGTTGGAGACTTGATTCAGTCATAGGGCGTTTTATGAGGTGCTGGGGTTCAATGCCCTGCACTAGGAAAATGAAATACATAAGTCCCTGTGTTTAATCTGCAGTGCTCAAATATATTGATAATGTACTTACTATATTTATCAGATAAATATGGCATGAATTCGAGGGGTTTTGTTTTGGTAAGGTTGGATCCTATAGGTTAACTCAGACTGTTGTCACACTTGCCTCAATTGAGGTTGCAGGATGAGCCACCCAAATGCTTTAATGCATTTTGTCCTACATAGATGGTATGCTTTTTCCTGGTTGGAAAGCCTTATTACCAGGTCAGGTCCTAAGCTGTCCTCTATTTTTTTTTTAAAGCTTTGCATTGGGAAATCCCATCATATATCTGTACCAGGCTGGTCACCTAGACCTCAGAGTCTTAGCTTTTCCTGCTTGTGAGGGCTTCATTCTTAACCATCCCTGGTGGAAGCCACACTTCCCAACTTTGTATCCCCAAACTACTATAATGTACTTTATAAATACAATCTTTCAAATATTTGTCTTTGTTATAAGTCTCCTGTAATTTGTCTTCCACTTTACTGAAGATCTTCAATAAATAATTTAAAATATTTGACTTTAAAATCATGAGATGCCATTAGAGTTCTGCAGATGTTTGGTAAAGTGTATTGTGACTTGGAATTTGACAGCGAGATCTTGATATTTCAATGACCATTGAGTCTTTTTATTCCTTGAAACCCTGTGATCTTGGTTAAAGCTTTCTTTATTCCTGTCTTCCAACGCAGAATTCAACTCGCTCCATATATAGTTGTCAGAAAAACAAAAATCATTTGATTAACACTCTTGTCCTCCAATAAAACTTTAAATTTCAGCTCTATTATAATTTGTTCAGAGACATTTAAACTTCTATTGTGTTGTTTCCTTTTTCCAACCTCTCCTTATCTAAGATATTCTCCCTGCCAATTATATTTAGTCCCTATGGCTCATGTCATAGTAAAATAAGCTTACTTCAATTCTGTTTTCTGTTGCTACACATTCCTCATTGAATGTGCACTGTTTCCCTTCAAAATATTCAGAATCTATTATAATCAAGTTGCTAAATTTTTAGTCATGTTCTTACTAATCATTGTGATTTTCCAAGTATTCCTTCACTTTTGCTATTTTTTGAGGATACTATGATGTGTAGCAACAACTTGCTTCCTAGTTCCTTCAGTCTCCTGAGCAGAGATTTCAGGCATATGCCAGTTTCTTGTAATACTCCTTAACAACATTGTCCTGGAGTTCTCTTATAAAACTCTTTGCCTTTGCTCTATTCACAACGGAAGCAGAAATGTTTTTTTGAGGGTGTAAATATGGTTCTGCATGCTTTGTGTTTTCTGGATTTTTTTTTTTAATGTTCATCACTATCTAATTCATCTTGGGTGTTGCTTGTTTTACCTATCTTCATTGCACTTGCAACCTCAAGGAGAATGGCTCTTCAGTCTTGAATGAAATTTTTTTTTTTAAAGATTTATTTATTTTATTTATGAATAGTACACTGTAGCTGTCTTCAGACACACCAGAAGAGGTCATCCAATCTCATTACGGATGGTTTTGAGCCACCATGTGGTTGCTGGGATTTGAACTCAGGACCTCTGGAAGAACAGTCAGTGCTCTTAACCACTGAGCCATCTCTCCAGCCCGAATGAAATTTTTTGATGTCAACCTATACAACCACTAGTTTGACCCCCTGATCTTCCATTGCTTTTTCATTCTTAAGATTTCTCAGATGCTAAGTTTATGTACATTTTGTTTGTTACCTGCGTGTAGTGTAAGCTCCATGAGGACAGAAATCTGTAACAGTTGACTTTCTCTGAGGCACTGACGAAATCATAAATTGGGGTAAAGTGCTAATTGGGAGGCTGAGCCTTGCATCTTTTCACCTGTTAGAACGAACTGGTTATGTGTGTAAGTAGCCTTGACACCCCACAGAAAGCTGTCCATAATAATAGGAAGATTCTCTGCCTTCCAAATTCTAAGTTCTTGGAGGGTGTTTGCAGCCTGCTGGGCTCTATTTCATCTCAAAACGGAAGAATCGTGGACTTCATAAAATCTGGGACCAGCATCTCAGCTCCCAGACACAGTGACGAGCCCTTAGCAGTTAGGAGCGAAAACTCCACTTAAACAACTAAAACTTTAATGCCTTTTGGGCACGTGCCCTTATCCGATAAATCGGAGAGTATAGATTCCCGCCTAGCGCTGCTAACTCATAATTTGCAGCACTGTGTAGACGTTGAGATGTAAAGCATTTTTAGAGAGGTACTCAAACCTGAAGTCGAGCTGGTGCCGTCTTCCCGCCTTCGCGGGAAGTGGGATCCTAGGCCTCGGAGAACAACGCTAGCCGCGTGTGTCAGGTCCCCACCTCGCGCATGGGGAGGGGCTTAGCGCGTGCCGAACTAGAACTGGGGCGGGGGTGGGAACGGGCGCTCTCGCGAGATTAAGCTCTCGTTCTGTCGCCACCTCCTGCCAGCGCCGTTGCTGCGGGGGATTGTGGGAGCCTCCGCGTCCCGCTCGCAGAGAGAGGTATCTCTCCTTTTCCCTCTCCCTTCCCCTAAGGTAGGCGTGAAGAGGGTAAGAGTCCGGGCGGGTGGCTGGGGGTTCTCTGCATCTGTTCAGAGCGGGACGGCCGCCGTGGCTGAGGCTGTAGGGAGCTGGCACGCCGCTCCGGCTCGCCCGTTCTGCCTCCTCCGGCGCTGCGTATGTGAGTCGCCCGAGCGGCGGCCGCCATGTTAGGAGCGCAGTGGCGGCGCAGCCTGCCTCCTCGGGCGGAGGAGATGAGCGGTTGTGGTGGAAGGTACGCAGCCAGGCAGCGGCCCGGGATGCTGCGGGAGAGTCGGGGGTCCGGAGGTGTGCTTGTCTGCCGAGCGTCCTGCGCCCTAGACTCGCAGTGGGCGGGGGCGGGACGAGCCCGTTACACGCGGGCCGCGGCGCTGAGGAGGAGGGAGGAGCGTTCGACGCCTGAGGGACCGACGGAGCGTCCACTGGGGCCTGCCATTTGAGGAGGATAAAGCTAAGTAAAAGTCGGTGGGAGCGCAGGTCCCATATAGTGCGT